AATGTAACAAGGAGCAGCCGAAAGAAAACAGTTTATATTAATGTAACTGTTACATAAAATAATAGTTAATTCATTTATTAAGTAACTCGACCAAAAAAATACCAATCTAGAATAATTCAGGAAAATGTTTGTTAAAAATATTTGCATCTTTTAGGAAATATTCCTGACAGTTTAAACTTTAATATTTAATAAAATGTGACTCATCATTAAATTATTTTGTATAAATTATCAGTAAATTTCCACAAATGAGGCGTGAGGGAAGATTTTAAATGGATGTAAAGTTATTGTGTATTATAATTAAGCTATTTTAACTAAGATGAACGTGAATGACGAACAGAAAAGAATAAATGTATAAATCATGTTTTGTGGACGTTTAAAGGGACAGTTCGGACATTTTTAATGTGCGGTTTCCTCTGCTTCTCTGAGCTGTTTGAAACTTTTGAATGTTTTCAAACCAAACAATCAGTAAAGTTAAGAGTTTAAACTTAAGTCAAATTACAAACAGAGCTGCTTTAAAACTAATTTAAGCTTCTTAACTTGATGATGTAATGAGGCGATTATTTGATTGTCACACAATAAAAAGTAACGTCTCACTCACGGGGTGGGGGGTTGTATCTGTTTAATGTCTTGGTGTCTGTCTGTCTGATTGTCTGTCTCTTAACCTGTCTCTCTGTGTGTGTCTTGTCTCCTTCTCTTTTGTCTCTGTCCGTATGTCTGTCAGACTGTCTGTCGGCCTGTCCACGTGTGTCTTGTCCTCTGCCTGTCTCACTGCTGCCTGCCTGTCTGTCTAACTCTGAGGATGATGTGTCTGAAGCTCCGCTGCTGTCAGGTGAAGTTTCAGTCCACGTCTTGTCCTTCAGTCAACAGAAAACTCTGGTTGAAAACCTGTGGACAGAGACAGCTGAAGGACTGCGGTGCAGGAAACCAGTTCAGATTCAACACAGCGGCTGGTTTTATTCTGTATTTTGATTTATTCATTATGTCTGTTGTTGTGGTAGACCTTTAACGTTACACAGAAAACTCAGTCTCTGCCGTGGTTTGGTTGAGTTTGGATGCCTTCGTCCCATCAAGAGTAATTATTACCAAACTATTAAATGGGGAGTGATTATGTCTGTTAGTATAATATCTCGTGGACCACTGAACAGATGTTGAAACTGCCAGAAGTTACTCAGATGTTTGGGTGGCCGAATATAGTGAGCACATAAACTTCATAAACTATTGATCGTACATCACTTGGAGCCTAAAGCTATCATATGATTACTCACGTCAGATTTATTTATATAGCACATTTAACACAGAAAGTGTTACCAAAATGCTTACAATTATACAATTATATATATATATATATATATACATATATATATATATATATATATATATATATATATATATATATATATA